AGTTGTGTTCTTTCCTTTAAGAGTAATAGCCCAGCAGTTGCACATATTACTGCCCGTCCTCTTTGGTCAGAACTTGGTGACATGGCTGGTAACTTCAAGGGAAGTGAAACTTCTGGAAAGTGAAATTTTTTGCTTGGGCCTCATGTACCAAACTAGAAACTCTTTTATTATGGAAGAAGAAGAAAAAGTGAATTGGGAGACATTATAACCTGTGCCACAGCATTGTAATTTTCCCTCAACTTCTCCCTATTAGTAAGTTTCTAGTGACTTTAAACATGTATAGGGTCACATTCACTTCGGAATGGATTCCTAGGGATAAATTGGATACCTTGACATTAGGACTTTTCAAAAGTAAATACATTTTTGAAGGATGCACATAAATAAAAGAAGCTTACTTTTTACTTGGCTTGTTTTATAAACAAGTAGATAGGGCCAGAGAAAAAAGGTGATTTGTCATAAGAAGTAGAAAATATCTAGTTAGGGGCATAAGCTGTGATTGTACTCTGTCCAGTTTTTCTGCTATACCTTACTCTGGCCATATCTTTGAGGAAAAATTTAGCAAGATTCCAGGGAAAATATAGCTTTAAATACTTTGAAGTATTAGAATTTTCTATGTATTACAGTTTTTCCAGTTGTATAAATCTTTTGAAGAGAAGATAATTATTTTTGGTCCATATGTGTTTCTTGGTTTTCTGAAAATACAAGTGACTTAGGTTTAGTGACATTTAATTTTAGCTTAAAGTATTTTATTAATATAACCACTGATGAAAGTAATCATCATGCCCAATTAAAATCCTAATTCAAAACTTGTGAAGGTTTATTTGAATTCTTTGAATAATATGCTTTAAAATTTCTATAATCTTGTACATTAAACTATAACCTGTAGAAAGCATGTTATGCCACCCTGAAGGTTGCTATAAAAATTGTTTATGAAGTTCAGGCCAAGACTAAAATATGTTGAAATGGAGAGTTGTGAAAAATGTTCTATATAACGTAGGAGACCAAATCATGCTAAAATGCAGAAAAAGACTATACATCAGTTTCTAGGCTACATTATTCAGAAAAATACAACCATAAAAAAGGTAATAAGATTACATTTTCACATTTCATGGCTAGTAAAGTGCATTAGGCTGCTCAGATATTCATAACTTATTGTGACATTTGGGAAGATTACATTTTGTAGTGCAGAGCCATTACTACAGCTCAGATAATAACTAGCCAATGCCTAGACTTGGATTATGATCCTTGTCATTGAAAACAAATTTGTGTTTTGAAGGTTGATCAGCTTCAAATAACTATTAGAAAGGGTTAACATGACAGACTGTAGACCCTGTGCATGCTTTTTAGGTATAATAGATATACATACATACAGTATATCAAATATGCCACACATTTGTATGTACCGATTTCTGCCATCAATTTTCTCCTTGAAAGGTATATTTTATAATATTTAAAGCAATGGAGAAATATTTAAAACACCTGTCTGGATACTGCTCTCACACTGTAAACTCAATTTAAAAACTGGTGAAATATTTGGGGTTTTTTGGAAATTACTTTCAAAAATTAATTCTGTAGCTTCTTGTAAGGGTGGTTACTGGTGGAAATAAACAGATTAAAATGGAAGATTGATGTAAGTAATATTAGGGTGAAGGTAAGGTCTCCTAAATTAGTTGCAACTAGATTTTTGACCTGTTTAGACCTGTGTGGGTATGTCCAAACATGTATCTACTAAGAACTCTCCCTTTTCTCTTTCCCCCCAGATGCTCAGTTGCCTTTTCAGAGGCAATCACTATTTAGTTTCTTGTGTATCACTCTTATGTATATGCCTATGTATATTCATGTTTTACATTTATATTGTAGCCTACCGTTCACCACATTTTTTTCCATCTTGATATTCTCATTTAAATAATGTATTTTAGAGATTTTTTTCATGTCAGATGGAGCTGCCTCATTCTTTTCATTGGCTGCATCATATTCCATTATATAGTCATATACGACTTTATTAACTATTACCTGATAATGTTTTTCGGGGGGATTGTTGCTTTTATTTTCTGTTCAAAGTATGTTACAATGAAGTTTTTGTATCCAACATCATTACCTAAATGTATCTGTAGGATAAATTTCTAGTTGTTAAGGTAGCTGTTTGTGTGTGGCTTCTTCTATTTAACATAATTCCTTTTAGGTTTGTTTGTCTGTATATCTATCTATCTATCTATCTATCTATCTATCTATCTATCTATCTGTCTACCTACCTACCTATCCACCTACCTACCTACCTAGCTTTTGCAAGAGGAGATTGACTTATATTGGTAACTGTGTCAGTAGTTCCCATACCAAATATTTTTCTCATTTATGGTAATTTTTCAGTTGAAGTACTTGGTTTTCCAGATATATATCACATCATCTCAAAGTAATTATAATTTAAATTCCTCCATTCTGGTATTTATATGTTGCTGCCTTTTGACTAAATGTATCTTCTGTGCCTCCAGAATAATATCAAATGATAGTGATGAAAGTCACATTCTAACCTTGTGTCTGACTTTCATGAGACTCATTCCAGTTTTCCTATGCGAGCATGATGCTGGCTTTTCAGGTGTGATTGATATATTTTATTATTAAAGGAAGTCTTTTACAAATAATAATAAAGTATGATGGAAATATAAAACCACCATTTAGCAATGCCACAGTAATAATAGTTACAGGTAAGATCCATTAATGGATCTTAAAACTTAAAATCCACTTATGGATGCATAAAACTGGAATAAACTATTTGGTTGTGTCTTACTCTTTTATGAGCTATTGGATTTTGTTGTGAAAAGTATGACGAGAAACAAGTTACTTGCATAGTCTTAAGGTGTTTTCCACAGATATATAATGATTTAAATATGAAATATAGTAACTTTATTTATTTAAAGATTTTATTTATTTATTTGAGAGAGTGAGAGAGAGAGAGCACGAGCAGGGAGAAGGAGAGGAAGAAGCAGACTCCCCTGCTGAGTGGGGAGCCTGATGCGGGGCTCGATCTCAAGACCTTGAGATCATGACCTGAGTCGAAGGCAGACGCTTAACCAACTGAGCCACCCAGGCGCCCCTGTTGTAACTTTAAAATGGAAAAAAATCTGACCATCTTAAACAGGTGATCAAAGCTAACTTTACCAGTAGTTTGGCATATTTATATTAGGTGCCATTGAAATGATATGCTAAGGACATACATCACTTCTGGAATACTTTTGCTAAAAATGCATAACCTGAATTTAAACTTGAAAAAAACTTCCATAGTGGAAGAGTCTATAAAATATCTGGTAAATATGCTTCAAAAGCATCAAAATCATGAAAGTCAAAGAAGGCCTGTGCAACGGTCTCAGTATGGAGAAGACCAAAGGGATGCTGATCATGGATCAGAAAAAGGACTCTAGTGTGACAAGTGGCAACATTTGAGTAAGATCTATAGATTTGTCAGTAGTATTTATCAATGTTAAGTTTATGGTTTTAATGATTTTATTATGATTATATAATATACTCATTTGGGGAAGCTGGGTAAAGGGTATACAGGAATTCTACACTATTTTGCAACTTTCTGAATATTTGAAATTATTTCAGAATGAAAAGTTAAAGACAGGACAAGCAGATAATATTCACACAACCAAATAAAAAAAAAGAATTTTTACATATTTAACAGAATTTTTGGGTGGACTGGGGAACTAAACATGTGTACTTTATAGCCACGACCATGTAGCTAGGAGAATTGGCCCAATGACACCAAGGGGCTCTTTTAGCAGAAACCCAGCTCTCCTTTGCTTATGCTAAATGTTCCTGATGATACAAAGAATTGTACGCTAAAATCTCTGCCAGAGCTTTCCCAGAAGAATCAAATGCTTTACCACTGCACTAGCCAGGAATTCCTATCTCCCTACATGCAGATGCTGCCTCATGTTGTTCATTTTTCCATTTTTTCTTTCTCTTGCCACTGTGTATCTTTGGCAGAACCTGGGAGATATCAGTCCTTGGCTACAAGGAGTTTTAATTGATTTTCTAATTCTGAACTTTCCCTGCTTTTCTGGTGTAAACTCTATTTGGTTGTGTCTGTTATTCTTTTATGAGCTGTTGGCTTTTGTTTTGTAAAGTTCACTTTCTCCTACTTCTTGACCACTTTTTGGGTTTAGGAATGCATAGTGAAATTTCAGAAGGACAAGAGTGTAGATGAATCATGTATGTAGTATTTCTGACAGGTATCTTTTAGAAATCTAGTTGATAAAGATAGCTCTGCAAAGATAATTCTAAAAGTATTTTAATTCTTTTAAACTCTTGGGATTTGTTAAAATTTAAAAAACTCTCCTCTGTGGGAGGATGCTGTGGGTGAGATGGCGTTGTGGGGATAGGTCAGTATATCTTTCTCTGGATGGGTTTTTTGATAGTATCAATGAAATAAATTTTCTTGATTACTTCTTTGGGTGTATGATTATATTTAAGTTATCCTAGTTATTGACAGGGAAGGAAGGGTATTAAAATCGGTAGGTAAAATAAACTAGGAATTTGGCAAATATGAACTCTAAGTTCTGTGTCCACTCTGAGCATTTTTAGCTTTTCATTTCTGTTGTGAGCTGGTATTTTGTATAAGCAGCAAAGCACTTCTAGGTTGCTGTGGATAGTTCACAGAGTTTATAATTCATAAATACGGAATTAGAAGCAGTTAATAGAGCTAAAAGTGAGATCTTTATTGGTATCAGGACAGTAGGTAGTGATTTACCAAAGACATCCTGTATTTGTTTCTGTTGAAAAATATTTCCATTTTTATATTGTAAGTCTTACTTGACTTTGTGCTATCTTAACTTGAAGGTTTCTTTAGAATCTTTATTTTTTAGAGCTGTGTGTGTGTGTTTATGGACCCTTTTGTTGTAAAGGGTAGAGAATACTGTGTATGGGTAGTTACTGGTTAGGAGTGTGCTCTAGTTATATCGAAAAAGCACTAATGTTTTTAATTTTTCCCCCCTTTTTGGAAGCTGGTAGGAGGGCAGTTTGATTTGGAAATGAATTTCATTATCCAAGAAGGTGAGAGTATCATCTGCATGGTGGACCTACTAGAAAAATGTGACATTACTTGCCAAGCAGAAGTCTGGAGCATGTTTACAGCGATTCTGAAGAAAAGCATACGAAATCTTCAAGTCTGCACTGAAGTAGGCCTTGTTGAGAAAGTGCTCGGGAAAATTGAAAAAGTCGACAATATGATAGCAGGTATGATTTTTTTTCTGTAGTACAGTGGATGTGAAGAAATAAAGTTTGATTCTTAAATACTGTATTTCTCTTATTTCGTAATATTTATTTCAGAAATATTTGAGTATCTACCATGTGTGGAACTTTAGTGTTCAAACTCTTAAATAAGCACAGTATATTTTAATCATTGAAGAAATATAAATTGATTGTTTTATTGTTTTCTTTTGTTTCCAGATCTTTTAGTTGACATGTTGGGAGTGCTGGCTAGCTATAATTTGACCGTTCGAGAACTAAAGCTATTCTTCAGTAAACTTCAAGGAAATAAAGGACAATGGGTAAAAAAATGAGTACCCTTTGATATTTGAAAGTATTCCTCTCCTCAAACACATTAGTGGCTTTTAAGCAACTGTTATTATTCTACTGGGGTAAATGTAAAATTGAAGGGAAGAGATAAAATAAAATAGCGTTTAGGTCTGTACAGCTACTTTTGCCATGACCTGACACAGGTGCAGAGTAAGAGAACTGGGTGTTCCAGGCAGGCTAAAACTTGGCCCTTCTTCAAACTCTTAGTCTTCAAATATACATTTAACATTTATTAGAGGAAAAGGGTAAGGATACAGAAGGAAGAGTGTTTGGTAGCAGCACCTAGATTCTTTATTGACCTGAGTAGTTTAGCTCTCGCCCTTAAACTTGAATAACCCACTCAGTGAACACAAGCTGTGCAGTTAATTGGATCCACCCTCCACAGATTCAATTTAGTGGTCCTTTTCAATAAATGGCAGTAGTGGTCAACTTATTTTAAACTCCGGGTGCATTAACAAACTGTTTCTTCCTACCACTTGGTTACTTACTTCTTAGAGGAATACTAATAAATATTTTCTCCATTTTTGTTGCGTTTCTAGGCTTATTTTAGTGCCCTTTAGAGATCATTGCCCACAGCACTGCTTAGCCACAGCTGATCCTTAATCTAGCTCTGTTGAAATATATTTAAATTGGTGCGTTGCAATTGTACACTCTAGTTTATTGTGTTAAAGTGGTTAGATTCAAGCTTCTTTTTATCAAGCTTTAGCTCTCTGGCTACTTTTAAGATTTCATCATTGGGGGTGCCTGGCTGGCTCAGTTGGTAGGACATGCGACTCTTGATCTCAGGGTCTTGAGTTCAAGCCCCATGTGTTGGGTGTGGAGCTTACTTAAAAAAAAAAAAAAGATTTCATTATTGATTTTTGGCAGTTTTATTGTTTCTTGGTATGGTTTACCTTGTGTTTATTCTTATTACAGTTCTGGTATCTGTGTGTTTATAATATAATTTTCAGCAAATTTGGAAATATTTTGGTCATTATTTCTTTAAATATCATTTCCCTCCCTCCTTTTTTGGGACTCTAATTACATGTATGTTAGCTCTCTTGATAATGTCTGGTAGGTCACTCAGATCTTTTCACTTTTTTTTTTTTTAGCTTTTTCTCTTTGTGCTTCATTTTAGATTGCTTTTGTTACTGTATTTTTAAGGTAATTGCTCTTCTGCAGTGTGTTGATTCTATCCATTAAAATTTTCAGATTTCAGATTTTTTTATTTCTAAAAAAATCTCTTTAGTTCTTTTTAGTATCTTCTGTTTTTCCTCATTATGTTCATGTTTTCCTTTAAATCCTTGGGACTGTTGAGCATATTTATAATAATAAGAGTAATAATAGTTGATTTCATGTTATTATCTACTGAGTCTATCATCTTTGTCATTTTCTTTTTATTTATTTATTTATTTATTTGCCATTTTCTAGATCAGTTTTTTACTCACTGATTTTGCTTCTGCTGACAGGTCATATTTTCCTTCTAATGCTAGTGATTTTAGATCGAGTGATATTAGATATAGTGAATTGTTCCTTGTTGAGTGCTGGATTTTGTCATATCCCTTTTCAGATTGTTAGACTGTTTTTGCAGGCAGATAAATTATTTGTGGATCACTTTACCCTTCCAGGCTAGTTTAAAAGTTTTCTTTTGGTCAGGTCCAGATTGGCTGTTATTCTAGGTCTAGTTTAGCCTCCTTATTGAGGCCTGATTCTTTTAGGGTCTCAGTGAATGACCCTAAGTCTCAGGTATGGGATAAGAGGTAGTGTAACACCGTGGTCTCTACATAGTGCCTAGTAGGGTCTCAAACAATTTCTGGCTGTATAGTAGCTGTGGGAATTCTTTGACTTATAGGTGTTAATATCTTGGCCTCACCTTGTTCAGTTTTATGGTAGGTTTGAATAGTTTGATATTAAGCCAAGGAGGCAGTACAGATTTCTGGAGCTTCCTGTCTGCATAGCTCTTTTCTCTGTAGTACTCTGCCTTGAAGCTTTTATCTACCTCAGACTACCTATATTCCATCAAGTCAATGAGACCTTCAAGTTCTATTTTGTTTCCCTCTTCCTGTGCAGTGATAGAAATTGCATCCTGGTAGAAAGTCTGGTAATCTCACGGCTCATTTTGTTTCCTTTTTCTCAAGTATAACAGTCTTGAGCTACCTCTTCTTCCATGTCTAAAAACATGTAAAATGTATGTTTCATACATTTTATCCAGTATTCTGGTTGTTTATGGTGCTTTGATAAGTCTAGGTCCTGTTAGTGTATCATGTCAAGAAGAGGAAGTACAGATCTTCTTCAACTTACAGTGGGGTTCCATCCTGATAAACCCATTGTAAATTGAAAATGTCAAAAGTTGAAAATGCATTTAATAAACCTACCCTACCAAACAACATAGCTTAGCCTAACCTATCTTAAATGTGCTCAGAACACTTACATTGGCCTACAGTTGGGCAAAGTCATGTAACACAAAACCTATCTTATAGTATAGTGTTGAATATCTTATGTAACTTATTGAATACTGTATTGAAAGTGCAAAACAGAATAGTTGTGTGGGTACAGAATGGTTGTAAGTGTATCAGTTTTTTACCTTTGTGATTTTGTGGCTGACTGGGATCTGTGGCTTGCTGCCACTGCCCAGTGTCATAAGAGTATTGTACTGCATATTGCATATCATGAGCCTGGGAAAAGATCAAACTTCAAAGTACTATTTCTACTGAATGCATATAGCTTTCACACCATTGTGAAGTAAAGTCGTAAGTTGAACTGTCAGAAGTCAAGGACGGTCTACATGCTGGTTTCATTTTAGTTTTGATTCTATTCAGTGTATTGTGAATATATAATTAATACATTTTTGTTGGTGAATATAGAAAACTCTGAGAAAATAGCAGAGGATATGAATAGATGTTTATTTATAGAGATAGAAACCCCACAATCAAATAAACACAAAATCACTAATAACTAGAGATGTTCAAATTAAAACAATATTGATATGTCACCTTATGTCTATTAGTATTGAGGATTATAAAGTTGGATAATAGCAAATATAATTGTGGAATAGGGTTATTTTATTTAATTTTTTTTTGGTGGGGTCAGCATTTATATTTATTAGCTGATTTGCAGCTTTGCTTTGTTTCAGCAAGTTAAGTCTTTGCATCAGTAGTTGAAACGGAAAATTATTTGATTCACTAATTATATTTTGAAACTGTTTTCACACTAATGGTAGTAATGATAGCACAAGAGAGACCATAGCCTACTTTTAAACTAGCTTAGGGGCACCTGGGTGGCTCAGTCGTTAAGCATCTGCCTTCCGCTCAGGTCATGATCCCAGGGTCCTGGGATTGAGCCCCACATGGGGCTCCCTGCTCCACAGGAAGCCTGCTTCTCCCTCTCCCACCCCCCCTGCTTGTGTTCCTACTCTTGCTATCTCTCTCTGTGTCAAATAAATAAAATCTTAAAAAAAAAAAAAAAAAAAGAAACTAGCTTAAAACAGAATTCTTTAAATCAAAAAGGAACATGGCTATGCTTAAATGACAGAATTGATGGGATTGATGTCTTCCTCCCTGTCACTTGCTACGGTGGGCACATTAGAATATTGAAGCATAATTATAATTATCATGGCCTGGTGATTGCATCTAAGTTCTGAGGGTTATGTTACATAAATGTTAGATTACACATCTTGTAGTTACATACATTATTTTGATTTGTCTATTTCAAATTCCATCTTTTTTTCCATTTTTATTTTTTTTTTCAAATATTCATTTAAATTCTAGTGAGTTAGATATAGTGTAATATTGGTGTCAGGAGTAGAATTTAGTGATTTATCACTTACAAAAAACAGGCATATAGTTATTTTGAACCTGTATGTTAGTGACTGGAGTGAACACTCATTAGCCAACCTCAAGTAATCTACCACTACTCAGTCACATAAATTATACCCATATCCAGTGACTTGGTAATTTGCTTCTGAGTACATGTTCCATGAAATTCTCAGTTTCATAAGGAAATACACATGGGGATGTTCAATGAAGCATTATTTTTAGTGGCAGTGAATTGTCACCATGGGGGCTTATCATTAGAGTAGATAGGTAAAATGTACTGGATGCATAGAATAGATTATTATATAGCAGTTAGAATCGATGCAAAAGTTAATATGAATAGATGCAGGAAGCAGGAAGAAAGAAACATATGTCTAACCCAACATCATTTAAATTATAAGTACAGTCACACAAAAACATTTTTGAAGGAACACATAAAAAGATTAAGTATGTTTATACAGTTGCTTATGTGACTGGGAGTAGAATGAGGAATAGGTTTAGGGCATAAAGGGAGAAAACAATGAGCTGTTAATAAAACAAGCAAGGCCTTGGGGCGCCTGGCTGGCTCAGTTGGTGGAGCATGCAACTCTTGATCTCAGGGTTGTGAGTTCGAGCCCCACATTGGGTGTAGAGATTACCTAAAAATAAAATCTTAAAAAAAAAACCCCATAAAACTGAAAAAAAGAAAAAAAAAACCTCAGACATTTGTGGAATGGTTCTCCAGATGGAAGTGCTATAATATTGTATTTTTACTTTTGACTGCAGAGTTATTTTTAGTTATTTCATTTTGGAATTTATTTTAAAAATTCAGTGTGATTGTAGTTACTTGTTATTACACTTTTGTAATTGAGCAATGTGGCTAACTGAAAATTTCTTGGTCACTTAAGAATAAAGCTCTCAGGGTCCTGGGATTGAGTCCCATATCAGGCTTCCTGCTCAGCGAGGAGCCTGCTTCTCCCTCTGCCTGTTGCTCCCCCTCCTTACGCGCGCGCTCGCGTTCTTTCTCTCTCTCTCTCTCTCTCTCTCGCTGACAAATAAATAAAATCTTAAAAAAAAAAAAAAAGAATAAAGCTCTCCACTTAACATTTCGGTAAAAGATTGCTGGACTCTTTTAGACATTTAATAAATAGAGCAGATACCAAATAAGATGAAGGCAAGCCAGTGATTTCACTTGTAGTTGACCCTGTTTAGAACTTTTAATGAAGAAGAATGTACTGATATCCTGTTTGCTTATAAACTGATTAAAATGATAATGTATAGATGATTGTTCTTTACTTTTCCTTGTAAATAAGTCTTTTCATTTTAGCTGTTGTTTCGTGTATTAGAGGAGACTTGTGGGTCAAAGAGGCATTAAATAAATGTAATGTTACAACTTTTTTATATGCTATACAGTAAAGGTAATATTGTAGAATGAAATATGACAGGGAGATTGTATCCAGTCTAGAGGTCAGGGAACACTGCTATGAGAAAGTGACCTTTAAGATGAGCTCTAAAAGATGGGTAAGATTTATTTAGTTAAGAGGGGAGGGAAGTAGGCCTAGTGGGAACATTTTAAGCACAAGGAATAGTTTGTACTCAGGCCCTGTTGTGGGAAGAAGGCAGAGAGGCTTTGTGGATGGAGTGCAAAGAGAGGGGAAGATGGAAATGCAGAATGAAGCTAGTGAGGTTGAGGTAGATCGAGTATCTTGTGGGCTGTGTTAAGGCTTTTGGTCTTTATTTTAAAGGCAGTGGGAAGCTACCTGAGAGATAGCATAATAGAAAGGTAAAAGTGTAGTGGTTAAAAGTATGGACTCTCAAGTCAGACTGAGTTCTGATCCCAGCCTTGCCATTTGCTACCTGTGTGACCTTGGACATGTTCCTCTGTCTCAGAGTACCACCTCCTGGATGGTTTTAAGGTTAAAATATTTTTATTGTTTCTTTGAAAACAGTCTTTAACAGTGTAATATAGTAAGCATTATTTGTGAAATTAAAAAGTGTTTTAAAGAGGGATGGGTGGTGGGTTGATATAGTTTGTAATTTTAAAACATTATTTTTGCTGCAGTATGGAGAAGTTTCAGGTGTCAGGTGATATTGGCCCATATTTATCAAATACCTCATATGTTCTATCATATTACAAAAATGGCATAGAGTACCTTTAAGATAGTGAAAATAATATGCTTTTAGCTAACAGCATTTTTGGTTATTCTTGGGTATATTAAAGTATGAGTATATTAAAAATAAGTATTTTTGTTTTATGGTGAATGTGTGTTTAATGAGTTGTTGATTATTTTCATAGCCTCCACATGCTGGGAAGTTGCTGTCTGTGTTAAAGCATATGCCTCAGAAGTATGGTCCTGATGCCTTTTTCAACTTCCCAGGAAAGAGTGCTGCAGTAAGTAAATTTTAATGAGGAAATCACTTGGAGTTTTTTCCTTGGCTTCCAGAAAGTACAGCCGTGTAAACAGCCCTGACAGGTTCATTGTTAGGTAGAAACTTCTTTGCACAACTTAACTTATTCCTTACAGCAGTTATTCGTGTTACTTTTTCCTGTTTTAGAGGTGAAGAAATACAGGCTCAAAGAAGAAGGCTGTCCATTTATAGCTTGGGGCAACAATGGAGTAAGAACCTAGTTCTTTTGAACATGTTGTCTTTAGAATTTATTTCTGCATTCTCCAATAGATATTTATGTGTGACACTTTCACTTTCTATCTTACTGAATATCTTTCTTCAGCCTTGCATTGCCCCAAAGGGTGTTTCTTTTGTACTTGGTGAATAGAATCAGAATAACTCTTTAAAACTTTCCGGCAAGTTCTCCTGATTTGGGAGTTTCCAAATTATATCAGTTTCAGCATTCTCTCTCTCTCTTTTTTTTTAGTTTCAGCATTCTTATAAGCTGTTAATCAGTTTAATATAGTTGAAAGACATTGCTAGTAATATCTGTAGTGTTTTGAAATGTTATAGGAGTGCATTGTATAATGTGTATATGTTATTTATGGAAGCTTTTTTACCTCTTCATATTACATTCGTCTGCTTCTTACTAGCAAAAAATTTTTTGAAGATATTTCAGCCTGTTCTTTTTCTGAGATTTTTTTTTGTTATTTTTATTTTGTTTCTCATAATATCTTATTTGCTTGTTAGGCCCTATGTAGTAGTCAGGTAATATCTGCAGAAAGAAAAGAGTGTTTTAAAAGGACATTTGTAATATTTGAATATTTTACACACAATACACAGCTTTCTTTGGAAAGTTTATTGCTTGTATTGTTTTCCTCTATAATTTTTCCTTACGAAGCATTTTAGATTTGAAGCTTTCCAGAAAAACTTTATTCTCTTGACATTGAGCCTATAATTTGCCTTTAATATAAGAAGCAGTCTTATGAGGTTAACTTTTTTGAAATGCATATTATGATTGTTTCCTGTTAACTTTGTTTTTCTTTTAGTTGAAATTCCAGTTAGTTAACATACAGTGTAATGTTAGTTTCAGGTGTACAATTTAGTGATTCAGCAATTCCATACATCACCTGGTGCTCATCGTGACAAGTGTACTCCTTAATTCCCATCACCTATTTAACACATCCTCCTGCCCTCCTCCCCTTTGGTAACCATCAGTTTGTTCTGTATAGTTAAGAGTTCATTTCTCCATCTGCCTGTCTCTTTTTTTCCCCTATGATCATTTGTTCGGATTCTTATATTCCCCAAATGCATGAAATCTTATGGTATTTGTTTTTCTTGGACTTACTTAGCTTAGCATGATACTCTGTAGCTCCATCCATGGCATTGCAAATGGCAAGATTTCATTCTTTTTGATGACTGAGTACTATTCCAGTGTGTGTGTGTGTGTACACCACATCTTTATCCATTCATCAATGGATGGACATTTGAGATCTTTTCATAATTTGGCTATTGTAGATAATTCTGCTATGAACATCAGGGCACACATATCCCTTTGAATTAGTATTTTTGTATTCTTTGTGTAAATACCTAGTAGTGCAATTGCTGGATTGTAAGGTAGTTCTATTTTTAACTTTCTGAGGAACCTCCATACTGTTTTCCAGAGTGAGCGCACCAGTTTGCATTCCCATCAACAGTGCAAGAGGGTTCCCCTTTCTCCACATCCTTGCCAATACTTGTTCTTTCTTGTGTTGTTGATTTTAGCCATTCTGAAGGTGTGAGGTCGTATCTCATTATAGTTTTGATTTGTGTGGGTTCATTTCTGGGTTTTCTTTTCTGTTCCATTGATCTATGTGTGTATTTTTGTGTCAGCACCAAAACAGATCTGCTGTTTTGATAACCACAGCTTTGTAATATAACTTGAAGTCCGGAATTGTGATGCTTCCAGCTTTGCTTTTCATTTTCAAGGTTGGTTTGGCTATTTAGGGTCTTTTGTGGTTCCATACAAATTTTAAGATTCTTTGTTCTAGCTCTGTGAAAAATGCAGTTGGTTTTTTGATAGTGATTAGATTAAATCTGTAGATTGCTTTGGGTAGTATAGACATTTGAACAATATTTGTTCTTCCAATCCATAAGCATGGAATGTTTTTCCATTTCTTTGTGTCATCTTCAGTGTCTTTCATCAGTGTTTGATAGTTTTCAAGTATAGATCTTTTACACCTTAGGCTAAGTTTATTCCTAGGTATCTTACCGTTTTTGGTGCATTTGTAAATGGGTTTTATTCCTTAGTTTCTCTTTCTGCAGCTTCATTATTGGTGTATAGAAATGCAACAGATATCTGTACATTGATTTTGTATCCCGTGGCCTTACTGAATTTGTTTATCACTTTTGGTAATTTTTGGTGGAATCTTTTGGGTTTTCTGTATAGAGTATCATGTGATCTGCGAATAGTGGAAGTTTGACTTTTTCCTTTCCTATTTGGATGCCTTTTATTTTTTTGCGTTGTCTGATTACTGTGGCTAGGAATTCCATTTCTGTGTTAAATAACAGAGGTGAGAGTGCACATCCCTGTCTTGTTTCTGACTGTAGAGGAAAAGCTTTCAATTTTGGCCCATCGAGGATGATATTAGCTGTGGGTTTTCATATATGGCCTTCATTATGTTGACATATATTCCCTCTAACCTTGCTTTGTTGAGTGTTTTTGTCATGAAAGGATGTTGTACTTTGTCAAATGCTTTTTCTGCATCCATTGAAAGGATCATATGGTTCTTTTTTTTTTTTTTAAGAGATTTATTTATTTGAGAGAGAGTGAGAGAGATGAGGGGGAGGAGTGGCAGAGGGAGTGGGAGAGAGAGAATCTCAAGCAGACTCCCCGCTGCGCGTGGAGCCCGATATGGGGCTTGATCCCACAATCCTGAGATTATTACCTGAGCCGAAATCAGGAGTCTAGTGCTTAACTGATTGAGCCATCCAGGTGCCCCAGGATCATATGGTTCTTATCCTTTCTTTTATTAATGTGTATCCTTTTGATTGATTTGTGAATATTGAACCACCCTTGCAGCCCAAGAGTAAATCCTGCTCGATTGTGGTGAATGATTCTTTTAATGTACTGTTGGTTTCGGTTTGCTAGTATTTTATTGAGAATTTTTGTATCCATGTTCATCAGGGATATTGGCATGTAGTTCTCCTTTTTAGTCAAGTCTTTATCTGGTTTTGGTATCAGGGTAATGTTGGCCTTATAAAATGAATTTGGAAGTTTTCCTTCCATTTCTATTTTTTGGAATAGTTTGAGAAGAATAGGTATTAACTCTTCTTTAAATGTTTGGTAGAATTCACCTGTGAATCCATCTGGCCCTGGACTTTTGTTTCTTGGGAGATTTTTTATTACTGATTCAATATCTTTGCTGGTTATCAGTCTGTTCTAGTTTTGTATTTCTTCCTGTTTCAGTTTTGGTAGTTTATGGTTGTCTAATTTTTTTGGCACATAGTTTTTCATAATATTCTCTTATAATTCTATTTTGTGGTGTTGGTTGTTATTTCTCCTCTCTCATTTGTGAATTTATTTATTAGGATCCTTTCTCTTTTCTGTTTGATAAGTCTGGCTAGGGGTTTATCAATTTTATTAATATTTTCAAAGAACCAACTCGTGGTTTCATTGATCTGTTGTTTTTTAGTTTCTATATCATTTATTTCTGCTCTAATCTGTATTATTTCCTTTCTTTTCCTGGCTTTTGGCTTCATATGTTGTTCTTTTTCTAGCTCCTTTAGGGGTAAGTTCAGGTTGTTTATTTGTATTTTTCTTGCTTATTAAGGTAGGCCTGTATTGCTATATACTTTCCTCTTAGTACCAATTTTTGTTTCTTCTTTGGTTTCCTGGTTGACCCATTCATTGTTTAGTAGCATGTTTTTTTTCTTTATTTTTTTTTTTAAAAGATTTTATTTTATTTATCCGACAGAGACAGCGAGAGAGGGAACACAAGCAGGGGGAGTGGGAGAGGGAGAAGCAGGCTTCCTGCTGAGCAGGGAGCCCGATGCGGGGCTCGATCCCAAGACCCTGGGATCATGACCAGAGCCGAAGGTAGACGCTCAATGACTGAGCCACCCGGGCACCCCAGTAGCATGTTTTTTAACCTCCATGTATTTGTGGTCTTTCCACACTTTTTCTTGTGGTTGACTTTAAGTTTTATAACATTGTGGTCAGAAAATATGCATGGTATGATCTCAGTCTTTTTCTTTTTTTTTTTTTAAAGATTTTATTTATTTATTTGAGAGAGAGAGAATGAGAGACAGAGAGCATGAGAAGGAGGAAGGTCAGAGGGAGAAGCAGACTCCCTGCTGAGCAGGGAGCCCGATGCGGGACTTGATCCCGGGACTCCAGGATCATGACCTGAGCCGAAGGCAGTCGCTTAACCAACTGAGCCACCCAGGCGCCCGATCTCAGTCTTTTTGTACTTGTTGAGGCCTGATTTGTGACCTAGTATGTGATGTATTCTGGAGGAAGTCCCATGTGCACTTGAAAAGAATGTGTATTCTGCTTTAGGATGGAGTGTTGATGGAATGATGAATGTATATGTTGAGTCCATCTGGTCTAGTGTGCCATTCAAAGTCATTGTTTCCTTAGATGATCTCTCCATTGATGTAAGAAGGGTGTTAAAGTTTCCGACTATTATTGTATTATTATCAGTTAGTTTCTTTATGTTTGTTATTAATTGTTTTATGTATTTGGGTGATCCCATGTTGGGTACATAAATATTTACAATTGTTAGATCTTGTTGGGTTGTCCCCTTTATTATGATGTAACGCCCTTCTTCATCTCTTGTTATAGTCTTTGGCTTAAAGTCTAGTTTGTCTGATGTTAAGTATTGCTATTCTGGCATCTTTTGATGTCTATTTGCATGATAAATGTTTCTCCATCCTCTCACTTTCATTCTGCAGGTGTTTTTAGGTCTAAAATGAGTCTCTTGTAGGCAGCGTATAGATGGGTCTTGATTTTTAATTTTTTTT